ATAAAATATTGGATAGTTAAATAAATCCAGTTATTTAATTACACTATGAAATTGCTACTATTGTTTGTTCTCTGCCTTCCTGGGTGAAGCATCGAGATGCTCAGTTCCGAAGATATTCTCGAATGGTTTAGTCCAGAACAATACCACAGAAATACCATTGGTGATTGTAGATGGATTTGTCTTAATCTAAAGTGGTTCCTATGAACTTTCTGCTTAAAAGTGTTTCCCAAGTGGCATAATCCTATGCCTGTTAAATAAGATACATCAGAGTTTACAGCACTTAGCAGTGTCGGTAAGGCAAACAAGTTACTTCACAGTCAACTTTGTCGAAAGTTTTCTCATATTCCATGAGGACAACTTAAACAGTTGACTGCTATTCTAGCCTATGAATGACGACAATTTGAAGTTGTACAGTGAGATTCGCTCATGATTTGTCTCCCTTCAACTCATACTCATTCTACCAGTGACATTCATCCATGATATCTGCTGAGACAGATAAGCGTAACTATTCTAAATGAAAATGACTAACTGTTTGTTGTGAAAACTTGATACTGTACGTAATGTCATTTGTTTATAAATGAAATCAATTCGCACTTTCCTACTATCTAAGTGTACAAATACACGCTACAGATTGTTGACTACTTGAGTAATAAAATATGCACCAAACAATTCTTCCTTTCTCTATAGATGAATACAGGAAGGCACTGGAAGAAGATACCTCTTTTAATTACAAAGTTCTCGGTATGATTGATTTCTTCACTAAAAGTTGTAATACCACTTAATCTAAAATTCATCGGTTCGCTGAAATTAGGTGACCAGTGCTGTGTAGAATGTACACAAGATTTTGAACTGGTGTTTTGTGTCAAGTCATTATTTCAACCTTTAATCATACTTGCTCTTCATCCACGTCAATCGCACTTTGCTACCTAAACATTTTTGAGTGAAATTACCTGAGGATAAATCTGATCGCCGTCAGGACATTTCTTACCAAAGTAGACCGCTCTTTTTTTGTTTTTTATAGTGATTTGTTACTAAGATCCATTGTTCCAGTAATATTCAGAAGATCTCCAGCTTATTTGTCTGTTGATTGATGGCATTATCGTTTCAACTGATGATTATTTTCATAGACTGCATATATGCGGTCATATTGCTTCCTCCTCTTACAAAATACTGGTCACATTCACAATTGTTATACATGGCTTAGGTGAAATCGGTGGTTGATACATGATATTACGCTAAGATCTTTTAGATGCCTAAAACAGAGTCATACGAAGGCATCTAGGTAGATAACCACTGTTATTTTTTCGGAGGAACATTCCACAGCTGAAAAAAATATTGTAGTCCAGATCTTACAGAACTTATGAGTAATAATTATACCTAGTCACTTTTCATTTATTTCATCAGCTAATAAAGGATTATACAATCAGACGAAAACGCATATTTCAAAGAAATGGGAAAATCGAAAAACTCTCGATATTTTAGAAGGTAAAGTTTTGATGATTCCACTATTATGAAAGGCAGCAGGTTATATGACATTTTATAAATTAAATATCCTTCTTCTGTAATTAAGCGAAGCGCGTAAAGTCACAAAAACGTCTCGTTTTCTCACGAGATTTATCACAACACATCGCAATGGCGATATGTGCTATTAAAAAAACACTCACAAGTTCGAAAACTGACTTAGCGAGAAAAACACTTGAAACATCCATTATTGACAGTCTAAAATTAAATCTCGCATGAACTGGTGCCGTTGTAGGAGAAAACGATATTCTGTAGGAGTGTTCTGCACATTTCAATGGTTCCACTCACTAATTTATGTCCATGATAATGTGTATTCTGAGACTTCTTGTATATCCGCGATTTTCTCATCAGCACTGACATTCACACTTGATAATAATAATAATTTGCTTTATTCCAGAAACAGTACTAGTGGTACAGTGTGGAATTTCCCGCACATATCTACAATATTTGCATCTAATTTTACAGACATTTAAAATAAGTATTAAACAAACAAATAAAATAATCTGAAGACACCAACAGCAAAAAAACAGGATAAACACAAAATAATTATGAATGCGAAAAAGTACAAAAGTCTACCAAAGTCTAATGCAGTGTTTGTGGTGGTAGTGTGAGTAATCCTGAATAATACAAAATTTTTTAAGGTGGTGACTATGACGTTCACAACCAATGATTGTCAGTTTAATATTGCCGAAAAGTATAGAAAAATAAGAAAAAAACAGCCACAAAACTAATATTACATGATGGTTAATGACAGAACAATTTTGTAATACTCATAGTGCTAATATAGTCGGAACCAGTAGATACACAAAAGAAGGAATACAGTAAAGTAAAAAAAGTAAGTCAATGTTAGTAATTTAGGTAGCTAAGTATGTTTAAAAAGGAGTTCACTATAGAATACAAAATAAGAGAGAAATAAAAGAGCCTAAAATTATATCGTTAATAACAGAGCAAGTCATAGGTTTCACTCTCAACATTGTCTCTGTCGCTTAGAACACGGGCCAAGTATGGTATCGTTGAGTTCCTATACTTGGTTGTACGAGCATAGATTATTTTATACTGATTTCTGGTTTTACTTGATGAGATACAAGGCGAGAGTTAGGAATAGAGGGGGTGTTGGGGGTCGGAGAGTATGGTTTTTGACCATTTTTCGCATGTATTCAGATGCCGATCAACTAAAGTAGTGACGAGCTGACTGAGTTTTACACCAATAGTCTTACCGACTACCTTCAACATCCTTCTCAGGATGGCGTAGTCCTATTCAGTAGACCAGGAAAGACTAACGGGGAGCAGTAAAGTAGAATAGGTGAGATACAAGAGTTGAAAAATTGTGAAAGTAGAGGTTGGGTGATTCCAGATTGTCTAAGTTCCTAATGTAGAGAATGATAAGAATATCTGTGTTTAAAGGTAATATCTGAATAAGAGAGAGAAGTTCATAGAATAAGCGACAGTAAGCAAACCCCATCCATGTATTTTATCATTAGAATCAGTTGAAAACCGAGTACTTTCCATCGGTATGTGAGTGAGAATACACTTACTCGATGGTTTGATAGCACTTTCTAACAAAGCTTTATACTTGGTAAATAACTTAATTGTGGCATCATTTGAAAGGAAGTCAGATGAACCCATCTTCAAATAAATTGATTATGATAATGTTGGATTCATCGTATACCTGGAAGTTGAGTGACATTGTTATGTATCAATTGTAGACAAATATTTTGCGGAAACATCAAGCAATTTGATGAAAGACGAAGGTTAGTTTTCTTTCACATTGAAATTCATCTTCGTCACTTATTAACTGTGCTGAAATATCTGTCGTCATTTTGTGAATAGTAGTTCCTATGATCTAGTTGATATGCATATTCACAATTCCACTGAAATGCGGTGAAATTTATTCGTAATAAACCATGTCTGAATATCCTTTGTGACAAACAGATGCAGCAGCTAATTGATTGTTCAACTCAATTCTCGAATTGTTTGTATATTGGAAAAGCGGTTTCCATGCATTCGAACACTATATCTGCCCGAATTCACTGAGTATCAGCATATTGAGTAATGACGCAGGTGGATATAAATCGAAAATCTATTCATATAAGGATCATCTTGATGAGTAATACGTAGTGCAATTTATGACAATGAACACTGTGGTTCACATTTTATCAACCTCAAATATAAAGTGTATTACATGATTTTATTATTCTTTAGTGCGAAATGTGTGTGTGTGTGTGTGCGTGTTAACATCTATGCCTCACATACCATGGTTCACCCAAAATAATGGAGAGAAATATGTTCACGCAGTGAACTGTCAGTGTAACGATAGAAGAAAAGAGACTTGGTAAAGCAATGCTTATTCGGGATTTTGTATCTCCAAATTGCCAAATTATGTACATCTTATCTTCAGACCACCATTTTCACAGAGCTTCTGCGTTATGCTACTTCTCATTTTTATATTATATTTGTTCGTATTCGTGTCACATCTGTCATGTTTTACTGAAACGCTGAATCATTTGCTTTCTTTGACGTCAAACCCATCTCCCTGCTATTCGATGTTTTTATGAAGAAGAGCGTTTCTTTAAATTCTACTGATAAATCTAATCAGTTTCAGACGCCACATCAGTCTTTTACACGCAAAATCTCCTTCAATTATAGCATGTCTTTATACATACAAGTTGTAAAGTGCAAAACCATTGACGTGATTATTCATTCAATGATTTATCAAATTATTCTAAAAAAGTTGCAATATTCTATGGAAACTAGTATTGTTCTATAGTGGAAAACGTCAAGCGAACCTTGAAGTTGGGCAAAGATGCTGTATAAATGCAGTTTACACCTAGTGAATGTATTCGTGTTACTGATATCAGTAAACTACTCGAAATGTCATGTGCTAAGCTGCCTTGTTTTGTGACAGTCGGAAGCCATTGCGTTAATATGATTATTTCATAATGAAGAACACACAATGAAACATTTCATACTTTTCGATACTGTGAAATTATAGTTGAAATTGAAATGATAAAGAAGCATTTGAAGGAGGCGAAGGAAGCAGTGAAAACATCCAGAGGTAAAAAAATTCTGTAAATTCTTATTGCACACTACGTTCATGAATAATAAACTTTTAGTATGATAATTCATTAGTCATTTTGTTAACTGTTAGTCGTTAAGTGCCCTATTTACTCATCAATAACAGACACATTAACTAGTATGTATTAGATATCTTTTCCACCACCAGTACAACAACTTCCCAGAAATATTTGGAAGGCAAGTTTTACCTCCAGCGAGTCATCACTCGTTTCCTGAGAGGTGGACTAAACTTCTGAAAGCTGATATATTCACTGTGTGGTGAGAACGAACGTGTTGAGACATAATCAAATTATAATGACACATTTTCGGATCGTCAGTGTGTTGTATTCAGTATAATGATAAATATGACATTAAAGTTTCTTGATTAACATTTTAAATATCATTCAACACTTCCTGTTTTTTAGTTAAGCTTGAATGGCTGGAAGAGGCAGCAGTCACTGCAACTCATCAACACAGAGATATTTTAAGTGAGTGCATATATTCACCAATTTGATCAGTGTTCTTCAAGGTACAATGAAGCATTGAACAAGTCTATTACGATTCACCATTCGATGAACGTGATGATGCTTATGTATGAAAAGTAGGGGCGTTTAATTAGTCTTCAACACACAGACGTCTAACGAACATACGTTTCCACAACTATTTGATAATTTCCACTCAATTGTAAAATGATATGAAGGTAAGATTGACTTCCACCTTGCTTTACATGGGAAAGCAGACGAAAGAGTAGACCAATTGAAGATGACGTTGACTGTAAGAGTGAAATAGTTTATACTGTGATTGAATATAATTCGATATGAGATAAGTTCGGTGAATATAACACACATTGTCACGGTATTCATAACTAGATGTCGCTTCTAGAGGAATCGTTTTCTCATAATCATATCATATGATTCTATTATTATTACTTAGAGTATTTCCGAACTGCGGAGAAAAGAAGATCTAGAACTGGTGAGCGAACAATTTTACCTTGCTTGCAATACTTCGAAGTTCGAAATGTATTCATCACTAAAATCCATGCGATTCATATTTGGTTGAAAATTATGACATCACTACAACAAGCAACGTATGAACTTCATGTTTACCGGAGAATGAAGTCATCATAATTGGATCACCGTTACTAGCTGGTTGTCAGAAATAATTAAATTTTGCTCGTCAACAAGGAAACATCGAATAAATTATGAACAGAACAACGCATGGTATTTTGAATTGACAGTGACTTGTTCTTGAAGATCTTTAGTTCGAAGATCATGTGAAGGTAAAGACAACAGACCAACCAAACGATAAGTGAAAGTAAGAACTTACTCACCAATTGAAAATACAAAGCGCGGAAATTACTTACGCATATCTCATTCCACATTGAATGTATTTGTATGAAGTACTTCCCTTCAATAATTTCGAGTACGCAAGCGAATCTGAGTTTGATAACAAGTTATTATTCATTTCAGACATATTGTATGCTGCTAAAGTAAACGAAGTGTATCAGAAGGCTCGTATTAATTTCGCCATCGGCACAAGTAATTTTACATGGTTATTTGATTTGATCACATGTTATATTTCATAGTTCTAGAGATGAATGCACCTCTCAGTGAATTTCATTTTCGTAAGAGACTAAAGTAGCCTACATGGCTAATGATGTGTATATTATCAAGTCATCGTATTCACTTATACCAAATTAGGCTGTATTATTGATAAAATCAGCAGTATTATGGTTGGTGACAATTAAGTCCAAAATAGATATGCACAAAAGCGTCACATTTACTGCTCCTATAGAGTTACTTTCATATTACCATGACATGCGAAAGTACTCCAATGAAGCTTCAGTGACTTCATCAATGCATCATGCAATAAAGCCATACAAATTTATGATACACGTTGTTAAGTTCAGAATAAAAGTAACATGGAGACTACATTACATGATTGAGCATTGTGAGATTTGAGTTTTATTTCATATTGTTACAACGTAACATAAAAAATGGTACAAATGCGTCACTGACAATCTATTCATTGTTTTAGAGGAACTAGGTGAGAAAATAAAACTATTGGAAATGAAGAGGATTGAATTTTTGAAGTGTAAGTTGAAATATTGAAATGATTTACAACTTCCTAGTTCAAACCCTAGAAGATAGAATAAAGTTGCTCCTGGCTGAAATGAAGGAAGATGCCAAGCAGTTTTATTGAAGTAAGTTCCTACTTATATCCTCAGCGTGTTTTTAATTGCTAACCAACTGCACAAGTGGATCAGAACTTGAAGATGGATTTCGTGGTTAGCTGAAATAAGCTAGATGAATCCTTGAGAACCAAGTACCAATGAACTTCTGTTAACTCGCATTTCTTGAATACTCATCAGTGAACAGGTGCATGAAGGCTGAGCTACTGACTGACCAGCCGCATGATCCCAGTCTCCTGCTGCACCCAATATCAGGGTTGTAACAACTGTTGAGAACATCTTAAATTCAGATGGTACTCTGCATAGCTCATTTCCTGTGAGAAGAATTTTAACTTTGAATCAAGCAGATAATGTACACAATTATTCTGTGTTTCAATATTCACTGAAAGTATTGCCTGAGGATTATTGTGATTGTCAGTTAGATGAAAACTGTCGATAATATTTTCTGCTGTACACGATACGTGTCTACTTTCAACTCAGTTTTACTCTGTTTCTGGTTTCATTTTGTTTCAGCTGCAGGAAAATGAATTCGATTCCAAGGGAATTGAAGCAATATTGGTGAAGGAAATACGTTGTTTTCTTATCTCTTTTTTGTTTAATTAAATATAATATTTTCCTTCGTAAGATGTTGTTCCAGTTGGTGTTTTCTGTCTTTTTAGTAGAATGTTATGTGTCAGAATGAAGTAGCTAATAAGAACAAAATGGCTGACCACTTGCGCACAACTCGATGATTATTGTTTTGTCGGACGAAGTGTATCGAGGAGTCAATGAGGAAATGTGTTATTACATGTCAATGACTACAAGGTACATATACGCGCAAAGAAATCCCATCAACTTGACATTTTCAAGTTATTTGTTACGTGGATTTCCATGAAATACAATGTCAAAGGTGATTTGTGAAGTTCTACTCACGGGGAGATTGATAACACATGGGTTGATTGTTTATTGGTTATTTTGCTAACCACAGATTACAATATAATATATTGAATGTAATTTCTAAAGCACATTACGCTTCATTCGAATACGGAAATTTCGTCATCCGTGATATGAAGACATACCATAGTTTGAGAATGACAGAATTTAAGGCCCTGTAGATAAGTCAAAAATACGTGTTGAGAGCTTGTATTTCCACAGTGATAAAATTCCCAATTACTGGAATGTGTTCAAAATAGCATTGAATTTCAAAACGTTATTCAAATCTCTCAGTTGTTTCTTGTAGGACAGGGGTTAACTTGAATGTCGTTTATACTAAAATAAAGTCGAATTAAGGCAAAAATAGTGAGAAGCAAACTTTGTGAACAACATTCTGAGTGATGTACGAAACACAATAGTTGTCCTGCTATATCACAGACCATTTACAGAAACGCCAACTGCTGTATAAAGCGACATATGCTATCGAAAACTAGACCGTGAGCAAATCAAAGCGTTCGTACCATTTTCAATCGTGAAACACGACTCTCGTTCATGTCAGTCAAAATCTCAAAACACTTTGACACGATGATACTTGCGAAATCTTTCATGTCACAGGTTATGCTTCAGCGAGTTCGTGAGTGTGTCTGTCTGGCTGTCTGTCCGTTTGTCTGTCTAGGTGTGTGCATGTGTGTATTTATCTGTGTCAGTGGTATTATAATCAATCTGTCGAATTATTGAATGGATGAGTAGAGTGTTAATCGGATGATGATTGCAGGCATATGTGGATAAGTCAAAATTTACATGTGTTCATAATCAAGTGATTGTCGGTTGCATGCTTTTCATCATCATCAAGCTGCTCAAGTAAGATTGAGGGGTAGAGAGAGCGAGCGAGCAATACTGAGGGCGAAACTGCAAGAGGGATGATAGAAATGCATTTGTTCCTAAGGTTTCCTAGTGTTGATGAAATCGCGTGCTTGTTTTCGGCCTTCTTATACCGATGGATATTTCTGGAACACAGTGAATAAAAGTCAAGAGTCAATGATTTTGGGGTGGTGAGCCAGGCAGTCCAGCAGTGAGATAGTCAGTCCATACAGTGAGCAGGCAAATGAATAACAAGAGTGGTCGAGTAATGATTGTCAATGCTGATTGAAGGAAGCATTGATTCCTTCCAGTCAAGTCTGTATCACCATTGAATATCCCATGTTAGGAGAATCTTGTGTGTGATAAAATCAAACACTGACACATTAATAATGAATTATTTACTGTCTACTTGTGTCATCGAATGGATTTCTTCCTTATATGGTGAAATCCAACTGTACTGCACCACAGTGTATGCATATGCTCTAATCTCCTCAAATGTACCATGACTACTTAATTATTATTGTGATTTGGGACTTCAGTGGATTTTAATACTTCACTGTCGCCTCAGGTTAAGAAAGTGATGATTGCAACCTATCACACAAAGAAGCCATTGTGATAGTAGAATTCATGACTTCGCAATTGACGAGTGGACAAAGTCTGATGAAGTAGAAGTGATATGTCAGTGATGCACTACTGCCTCGGTGAATTCTGATGTATCTCAGTCTCACTGAGGATGCATGTTCGTCAGTTATCTTATGGATGCATGGAAGGATGGATGAAAATGAATTCATATTAGATGAGATGAGCTGTGGCGATTCGACTTCGTGGAAAAGAAAATATTCTTCGCTACAACTGTCTTTTAATAATTCCTATGATCATATGTGTAAATTCCTTAAGTGTCACCACATTATTATCTGTCTGTGGAAGTCATTGAGTCGACTGACACAAGCTACATAATAGTGTGAAGACACCAAGAATAGTGTATAGATATGGGGACTGGAGAAATCCACTATTCATCATTGATTGGCATTCAGATATCACGAAATTGCAGGACTACTGTATCACTATAAGAGAAGACAATGCACAACAGTCACAGGAGTCTGTCTCTCCAGTAATGAATGCTGACGACTGGTTAACATGATAGGATGTTGAGAATAGAGAAATAATGAGACAGACAGAGACAGGGAAAGAGAGTGGGAGAAAGAGTGGAGAACAGAGAAAGAGAGAGTGTGTGAGAGGGCGAGAGTGATGAATTGACTGGTAGAAATGCGGTGTGAGTCGGTGAGTGTGTGATTCAATCTGTGTTTGCTTGTGTTTGCACGTGTACGAGTGTATTTGTTTAGAGTGCTGGATTTATGTTCCCCCCGAATCTATGTGAGCTTCAAGTGATGATGAGGTGAACGTTTTCTCATCACAATAAGACTGTTGAGGATAGAATTAACCTCAGTGCATGCTGGGAGGTATTCACGAGAGGAAACGTGTCTGTTCATGTATGTCTGTGTGATTAACATACGTGCGTATCGTGATTTCATTTTAACGGAGACAGATACACTGAGATCGAGAAAGACAGACAGAAAGATAGAGAGAAAGACAGAGGGAAAGCGTGTGTCTGTGTGTGTGTGTGAGTGAGAAAGAATTGTGAGAGTTTCTGGCACTGTAGGAAAGTACGCTATGCCTTCACTAAAAAGCAGCCCAGTGTGTTACACTAATTTTCCTAATAATAATAACTGGCATTTTTTGAATGATTAGGCAGAGAGACAGAGAGAACATGAAGTTCATCCTTAATCCTAACCAAAACATCCCAAAGTGCGTTCTTCAACTATATGTGAAAGCTCCGAAATGCAATTTTTTGTTTTGTGTGGAAGAATTCTGACGAGGATATCAAAGCAAGAATCGGAAAAGCAAGACAAGCTTTCACTACTCTCAAGTCTGTGTGGAGGTCAACAACACTCAGCATCCAAAAAAAGATCCAGATTTTCAACTCCAATGTGAAGTCAGTGCTACTATACGGATCAGAGACTTGGCCAGCGCGTCATAAAGAGCATCTCAAACAAACTACAGACCTTCATTAACAGTTGTCTTCGCTCAATACTCAAGATCTGATGACCAGAAAAGATCAGCGACAGGGATCTCTGGGAGCGAACCAACCAAGCAGGAATCGATTGTGAAACAAATATGCAGAAGGAAAAGGAGATGGATTGGTCATGCTCTGAGGAAACCATCAAGTGACATCACTAGAGAAGCCCTTGAGTGAAACTTGAAAGGGAAGCGGCAAGTTGGTCGTCAGTGCAAGGGTGACTTGGAGGAGGTCATGTGAAGAGGAGATGAAAACGTGTGGGCAGACATGAAGCGAGGTGAAGACTCTAACAGAGAACCGAACTCAAAGGAGACGCACGGCTGAAGCCCCATATTCCTCTAGGAATTAAAGGATACAATAATAATAATTCTATGATGGATACAATTTACCTTGATAAAATCTCTCTCACTATTATGTACTGATGACGTTTCGAGCACAATTTATTGCTCATAATCATATCAAGGTACTCAAAATGAGATTAGGAAGTTGTGTGAGCACCTTGACATGATAATGAGCAATACATTTTGCTCGAACCGTCTTCAGTAAATAATACTGTATAACACTGTGAGACTTTATTAAAATAAATTTTACCCTTATAAGTTTGTTTATTAGATGTATCACACAGTGAAACAGTATTATTTATGAACAATAAATATTATTTTATTACAAATATATATTATGTTTTATTATATATATTACTACATTATATTTTTATAAAATATATTTATTATAAATCAATAAATATTATGAACGATAAATTTTGTTCGAAACGTCATCCTTTTGTGTGGTACATCTAATAAACAAACCAATATGGAATTAAATTTTACTCGTAATGGAATTATACTCTACCGCAGAGTAGAAGTTCTGCACTTATGTCAGCGTGGAGGAACATTGGAACTAACTCACTGCAATTGATTTTCAAGGAAACATGGACCACTCATAAGGGGCTGGCTCTCAAAAGATACCCGGAAGCCAATAGAACAGAGGAACTGGACTATCAAACTGGTTTAGCTCATCAACGTGGAATATTGAAAATCCTGGCTAGATTCTGATGCCTCTTTGGATTGATGCTGTTTAGATCGCAGTGAAATGATGAGGACCATAGATGGCAGTCTACACCCGATTGCATAGCATCTCACAGAGAGAAGTCAAAGACCTCAATGATTGGTTTCATATTAAGGTTGAACTACACCTCAGGTCTATTCCAATCCAATGATTCATGATAAACAAGGTATCTTGATATTCCTAATACGTATTCTGGCCATCTCAATTGATGCAGTTTCCTAACTGAATAGAATAAATTCCTCTCCTTACGTTTGAGTATTGTAGCTTTAGGTATATTCCTGATAACTGCACTTGCCTTGGATATCAAACGATAAAGTAACCGATTTCCTTCAAGGTTAATTTCGATGGCGAATTGCTAGTTATCTCGAATGCGTTGCTGCATGTTGTTTGTCTAAGAATGTTCTAGGTGGAAAGCGTTTCAGCTAATTGTGTTACTGTGAATGGACTAGAAGCATACAGTCCACTGAACACACTTATAATTCCTAGTTAACCGATTACTTTCCCATAAAGTAATACCTGATGTTCACATCAATTTTTTTGAAGGATTAGGCAGAGAGATAGAGAAAGCATGAAGTTCAATAAAATCATCCTTGCTCCTAACGAAAACACCCTGAACTTCATGGTTTG